TAATTTATGTTTTAATTTGAAGGACCTTAATATTTGAAGTAGTTGTAAGGGCAAATACTCTTTTCAATTTTTAAAATGGGGAGATTACTATTAACAACCCCCATTTTACTATTTATATCATCATTTAAAAAAATAGTATTTATAAGCTATCATTTTGTAAACGTATGTAAATAATCTCTTTTTCATTTTTCTCCTTCGATAAGGGTTAATGGCCACATCAAATAATAAAGGATTGTGGGGAAAGAAATAATAAAATAAAATCAGTAATATTGAGACTTAAAATAATAAAAATAATATTTTTTTTTATTTTTTATTATGTATTATCAATAATAAAAAAAAAGGGAACGGTAAATAGTAAACGTCTTAAAATGATAGATGTGTAAAAAAAAATGTAATAAAAACTAAATTTCAGCTTTTTTTTTTTTACTAGTTTGAACTCTTTGTTCAGAATTATCCGTGGTTCATTTTTTTAATTAATTTGTTTACCATTTTATTACTCAGTGGTATCAAAAGAATAGAACCTTCATTGACATTTGAAGAATACATATGAGACTCATTTGAATTTTGTCAGAAATATCAGTTTCAGGAATATACATTTCAAATTACATATTATGACATTCGACTGTTGCAAGAACAAATATGTAACTCATGTCTGTTCACTCCTAGTGAAGATGCAATTTTGCTTTAGTTACTGCCTTTGGCTTGATAAAAATAAAGATTGGATCGATTGATACATACCATTTCTTTTATGATCATAAAATCAAGTAAACTACATATTACTCCCTATAGTTAATTACCTTTAGTATTTTAAAAAATTACATTGGTACCTTTATAATTACGAAAGTGAAACATCGATGTCAATTTATTCCAACACTATCGGTTTTACTTGTCAAACAACACCCAACGTTATTGCTATCCACCACCAGTGACGCTATCCACCACCACAAATTTGAATGTTAAAATTATTTTTTTATCCTTTTATTTTTATATTTTTATTAATAAAATCAATAGAATAAATGAACCTAGATATTTCATATTCATAATTATAGAAATACCAATATAACTTTTTAAAAATGTAATGATTAAAATACCAAAGATAACTAACTATAGAAGATAATATATAATTAATCATCCTAAAATATACTTAACTTGGTAAACTGTATTTTGTTCTGTAGATGAAAAAGATACACTTAAAATTTTGAACTTGTGAATATGCCAAAAAAAAAATTCTAGAATTGATGATTGTGTATATAACCTACCTAAATAATTCTCTCATAAAGCATTACAATCACAAAATAAACAAGACCAACCAATTGACAGCAAGGCTTTTCAAATCCCAAATATTATCTAGAGAATCGTTAGAAAAATTTATCAACAAATAGCCATCTTATAAGCTGGAGTACATGATAGCATCAAGGTGCATAGCTTATCAGTAATTTTTTATTAACTTTGTCCCATTGAGCAACAGACCCTAAACTCTTTACCGAGCAAAAAATTTCATCCCGTCTATGAAGAAAGGAAATGCATTTTCCTGACCAGAGAGAAGCACCAGCTGTACGGAATTCTGCTTTAGAAGTTTAGTTATGGAGTAAAATGGATCATGAGGATTAGATATGGCTGCACTGTATTTCTGTTCACAATCTTCGTGGTTTCTTTAACATATCTCACCCTCCTCGAGCAGATCTTCGTATGAAACTGGAACTCGCATCCTATCCATCAATTTCTTGTGCTGTGTCTTGGATTCTGATGATTCAAGTTTCTTCTCGGCATATGCACCACGCTCAGAATTGTCTGATACTTCTGCCTCATTGGGTATACTTGTGTCGGAAACTTGTGCCTCATTGTTACGTCTCATCTTAGCTTTTGATTCCTTGAATTGTTTCTGCACAAGAGTATTCAAAAGCTTCAATTATCAGCACAATGTACAATGTTGGACAATTTCACAATAAGAATCTGACGAGGCAATTAGGATACTAATGTTTAAGTGAAACTGCTCTAGGCAAGATGCATCAAAATGTCGACTGAAACAAGAATAGCACAAGTGCAGTCAGATGCATGAATTGTCATGAATGTAGATGTGGATTATTGTGTGTACCAATATCATCAAGCCAACATAAACCATATTTCCTTGTAAATTATCAAGCAATTTCAAGAATCCCAAATTGATTCCATCTTAAACATCTAGAAGAGAGAAGCATTCTAGGAGTAGTTATAAAACAACAGAGCGCATGCATGCGCTTGGTTTCCATACCTCGAATTCCCTGCCCTTGCTCATGATTTCCTTGTAAGCCTTTGGTTCACGAGTTTTCAGAATATTCCACAAAATTCCACCTCCTGTGCGGAAGCGCCGTCCATCAGCAGTCTTCTGGCCACCACAATGCTGGATGGCATCCACCTGCATTTGCAACTTAGATATACCAAAAGAAAAACAAAATTATGGTATTCAGGTCTCCCTGCCACATTTTTCTCATTTGTACTTTTCGAATTTTCTTTTATATCTTAATGAAAATTTGCAAGTTATGTCATTTGTAAACAAGGAAACTATTAAGACATGGAAGATGCAAGAAATGATGTTATAGCCTCTCACTAATTCAGAAGTTGTATAAGAAGAGCCAACAACATCATTTTCCAATCAAAAGAACATGTTCTTCAAGGAAAATCCTAAGCCATGATAACAAGCTGACTATCTTAGAAGAGGGTTCTAAGCACAAACAACCATTTTAATGTCTATGCTCCTTTCAAATTAATAATTAAATTAAAGTTGTACTAAGAAGAGAATATATAATGTCTAACAAGCACCAAAGAACAATCAGCTCCAAGAAATGTACGTTCAAGCAGAACTTTGGCCTAGACAATTCAACTATAACACATGATTGTTTGATCAACGAAAGACTCTGCTAATAACCATGAATAACATTCTGGCACCAATGTATCCAGCAAGGTAGAGAATGTATATGGAAAATGCAGCCAACCTAAACCAAGCAGCTAATTAGCAAAGAATTTAATGTGACTAACAGCTCACAACTGTATTCTACCATGTCAACTCAAATCAAATATTACTATTTTAAGCTGGCCACGAAAAATTTTGCAACATCTTTTGAACTTGATAGGAAGAAAGGATAGGGTTACCAAGGTTACCACACAAAGCAAGAGTAAGACAAAGCAATATATTCTATCTTTCACTCAAAATTCTTTACAACTTCAAGACTCTATATGTTTCATGACCCAACATAAGGGGTTTATATAGTCCCCAAAGATATATTATATTAATTAAATGTAGTATGAATCACTATTTTCTAAAAAAACCCTTTCAAGAATCAATAGTCAATTTGGTTTGTCCTTTTGTATTTCTTCTTTTGATGCAATGAACCTTTCTTTTGATAAAATTAATCTCTTTATGATGCTTTAACAACTTTAATTTCAATATTCTCCCCCCTTAAACTTGTTTCATCTATTATGTCAAGTTTCTTTCGAAGTTGTTGAAATATTTCAAATTTAAGAGGTTTCGTGAGTATATCGACCACTTGTTCACTTGTCTTAACATGATGTAACTCCACTTCTTTGTTTTTGACATGATCTCTTATAAAATGAAATCTTATGTCAATCCCATATTGTTGTTTATATCTCTTTGTAACCAATCGTGCTTTGTATTTCTCCATCTCCCTTTTTTACATTTCTTTTTGTTTTGAAGATCCACTTAACACCGTTCGCTCGGTGGTCTTCTGGAAGTGTAGTAAGCTCTCATGTATCATTTTTGTTAATAGCATGAATCTCCTCATTTATAGTTTGTCGCCATTTTTTTTCTCTACAAGCTTCTTCGAAGGTTAATGGATCATATCCTGCAAAAATATAAAATAAAAAAGCTTATCATTATTAGTATCAATCCTTCGAATCACATCATATAACTCCTGAATCGATCTTATCCTTCTTACAATCGAACTTCTTGAATCATGTGACCTAACCAATCTAGGTGATGATTCAACCAAAAACTATTCGGTACTTGTATTATATCATCATCTTTTAAAGCTATAGCTTTCTTATACTGCTCATCATTTTTCCAGTTCCAAATCCGTTGTTCATCAAACTCAACATCTCTTGACATCACAACTTTGTTTGTGATAGGATTGTAGAGTTTGTAACCACTGGAATTCTCAGCATAACCTAACAAGATGCATTTCTGACTTTTATCCTTAAGTTTGATACTCTTTTCTTCTAGTATCTTAGCAAATGCAACACTTCCGAATATTCTCAAATGATCGACTCTTGGTTTATGCAAGCTTCATACTTCTTCTGGTGTAACATTACCAATTCGCCTTGTTAGAAATCTGTTAAGCAAATAAACTACACAAGCAACAACATCTCCCCAAAATTCTTTAGGAATTCTTCTTTTATTTAACATGCATTGGACCATATTAAGAATAGTCCTATTTTTTCTTTCTGAAACACTATTTTGTTAAGGTATGCATGGCATGGTGAATTGATGTTTTTATTATTTCTATAAAAACTTTCAAACTTATTTGATATATATTCACCAACCCTATCTATTCCTAAACATTTAATCTTACAATCACTTTGACTTTTAACCAAAATTTTAAAATATTTGAATTTGCTTAAAACTTCTTTCTTTTTATTTAACATGTAAACCCCAATTTTGCCACTATGATCATCAGTGAAGATAAGAAAATATCTGCTTCCTCCAAGTGATACTGGACTGATAAGGCCACAAACATCTGAATACACTAGATCAAGTCGATATCATGCTCTTTTTGTTCTTCTTGATTTGAAAGACTTTCTTTCTTGCTTTCCCATGACACATATTTCACATAACTTTGATAGGTGATCAATTCTTGGCATTCCTATCACTATATATTATACTTCTCTAGAAGTTTCAAAGCCTCAATTTAAATGAGCATGTCTAAGGTGTCATAATGTATAAATGTCCTTAATATCAGTTTTAAAACAATTTGATCGATCAAAAATACATAAAAGCAGAGGAAACATCATATTCTTCGCCATTTTCACATGTTATATCAATGTTTTATTCTTATCATGAATTGAGAAAGTTATATCTTTCATCTCAATATCATAACATTTTTCAAATAATTGACCCAAGCTTAGAATATTATTTTTCATATCAGAAACATAATAAACATCTGAAATGTATAATTCTTTTCCATTATTAAGACCAAGAAAAATTTTACCTTTGCCTCTTACTGGTCTTTGAGATAGATCATCAAATGTAATGTTCCCAGAATAACATGTATTCATTTCTAAAAATAGCTCTTTGATGCCACACATGTGATTTGAGACTCCTGTATATGAATACCAGGTCATAGACTGATCTTCTTTCAAATTATCATAAATCATTAGCAAGACTTGATTTTCATTCTTTTCTTCCTCAACAAAATTTGCCTTATCACCTTGATTGTTAGGATTATAATAACATTCAAAGGGATAGTGCCTATATATTTTACAAACATAACATTGTATTTCAGATTTTTTTTAATTTCTACCACGTCCTCGACCATAACCTTGGCCTCTTTGGTTAGAATTTTCTTTATCACTTTCATTGTTTTAAGATTTTTTATTAGTCTAATTTATGCCACCTCTTCGTCTTTATCCACAACCTCTTCCTTTTTGAGATTTTGATTCATCTTTATTTTCAAAAGTAGGCTTGATTTGTAGTGCTTGCTCTATAAATTTTTCTTCTCCTTTTGTAAACCTTTGTTTATGAACTTGAAGAGAACCCATTAGTTGTTTTAAAAACATTTATTCAAAATCTTTGGACTCTTCAATCGTTACAGTAATAAAATCAAACTTTAGATCTAGAGATCTTAATATTTTCTAGTAATCTTTTATCACTTATTTGTTCACCATTTCGTCTCATTTTATGAACAATAAAAATGATTTTTGAGAAGTAATCAGAAATAGATTCAGAAGTACCTTGTTGTAATTTTTCAAACTCAATTCATAAAACTTGTAGACGAAGCCCTTTTACCTTATCCACACCACCAAATGCTTTTTGAAATATTTCCAAAGCCTCTTTTGAAGTATTTACTCGAGCGATGATCTCGAACATTGTATCATCAAATCCTTGGTAGATTGTGAACAAAGTTTTTTTCTCCTTCTTTCTATCTTTGAAATGTTTTCTTGGTTTTACATCCATTGCTCCTTCTGCTGCTAGACCTGATTTAACAAATCTATCTACAAAGTCTCGTACATCTTGGGAGCCTAGAAGAACCTTCATTTGGATGCACCATATATCATAATTTTCTTTTGTCAATCTAAGAATCTAGAGTTGGATGATGCTTAGAGAAGAGGTCATAACTTAAACTGAGCTCTAATATCAAATGTTGAACTTGATATGAAGAAGGGATAGGGTTATCACACAAAGGAAGAGTAAGACAAGGCAAGATATTCTATCTTTCACTCAAAATTCTTTACAACTTCAAAACTCTATATGTCACTCAAAACCTTTCTTTTGATGAAATTAACCATTTTATGATACTTTAACAAGTTTAATTCCAACAATATTAAGTTCAAGCAAGAAGATTTGGTGACAAAAACTCTAGATGGATCATGAAATACATACCTCCTTAACAAGATCTTTGACAACAGAAACACCAAGACAACCAATAGCATTCCAGAGTAAGTATGACTTGTGCTCCTTTAAATGCCTGCATGTTTCTATCACAAACCTGTTGAACATCAAAAGAAATACTCGATTAGGTAACAATGACTTTTCTAGGATCTTAAAAGGATTAACAGGACAAATTACAAACACAACTATATCCGCCATCTAACAGATTTGGATAATAGATATCTGTCATTATTTCATGACAATATTGTAGTTGTATTCTTATCGAGTCTTTGTGATCGTATACGTTGGAACAGGAACAAAGACAATAAGACTAGTAGCAGTGGTGAGTCCGATCGAAAGCTTATCAAGCCATTCATTGGTCAGAACCCTCAAAGCCGATTCCTGAGAAGAACAATGGAAGTACATCATGAAGTGATCACCTATTGATGTCGGCGATACTGGCAGTAGCACCGCCGCCGCCGCCGCCGACGCCTCCACCACCCTTCCTCTTCCGGCGATTCTTCTTCTTGCCACGGCCCCTAGAGCCGTTTCGACCGCGGCTCTGGATTCCAGATCCGCCCTCGGTCTGCGGAGTGTCGCCTCCAGCCAAGCCAGCGGCCGATCCACCTCCGCCGCCGGGTTCTAGGGTTTCGGCGTCGACCATCTCGACGTCCTCCTTACCCTCCTCTTCAATTCCGCCATCGTCGTCGTCGTCTAGGATTTCTTCCAGTCCTCCGAAGGCCGGTTCTTGGAATATGGCTTCCAATACGCTCTCGCTTCCCTCCATGGAGAGAGCAGTCTCAGGCACCTACCGAGAAGCAGCGCAAGCCCTATTGCACATAGCATAGCCAATATATATATAGATATCCTCAAAAAAAAAAAAAAAAAAATATATATATATATATATATATATATATCCTCGGAAATTAATTAATTTAGTATATGCCCCACTATATTTAGATTAGTTCTATATCCTTATAGAGCTAAAAAGAAAAATAATGATATTGTAATTATGTTGTGTGATTTCCTTAAAAAGTTTCTTTTTTTATACTAAGATAGTGTCCGCTATTTCATGTTTATTTTTTTAGATAATATATTTTTAATTTTAAAAATATTCCTTCTCTCGTCATCGTTTTGAACGAATATGAACTCTAAAAGACACTTCTAAGAGATAAAGGAGACGTAATGGGCTTATGAATTATTGGTTCTCATACTTCTCATGAGATTAAATAATCTTATTAGTACTTCCTTCCGTATAGGAGCCAAGGGCTCATAACCAAAATGTATGGCTCCGGAACGAGTTTGAACGATGGATGTTTCTACACGATTTTATCCTTTCGGAATATGTAAACTATAAAAAGTATATTATCAAACGAATTTTAGGATTCTAGTGTTTCTAAAATAAAAGATTTTTTTTTTTCTCTAAGTACCATTTTGCAGTGGTATCATGGAACGAGTGTTAATTAATAACTCATTGCATTTGGGGATGGTTTTATGATTTGAATTCGGTGATTAATTTAGGGTGTCATCGTTGTTTAGCGGTTGTAACTGAACGACGTCTTGGATTGTATTGTCGTAACCACCAGGTGGGCGAACGCGTTGCTCTTCCGCATTAGCTGCTGCAGGACCAAACTACGTTGCGCGAAGAGTAGAGAGTAGAGAGGTACGTACATGCAGGCAACGGAGCAATGTTAATACCTCGTCCTTGCTTTATTGACTCCCAAGAGAAACATGAGATGCAATGAAGAAGAGGGAGGAACGACGTCGTCCGAACCAGATCAGTTGAAGCTTTGTTCTGCGGTGGTTAACGATGGGCTGTCATTTCAAAGTCAAAGGGCTGAGAAGTCATCAATCACCATACTAATTAGCTTAACTACGATCTCAAATAAGATAGACAACAAGAATAGCAAGCTGACGGTGATAAATTGCTACGATCTTCTAATGGACCGTTCACACGGGAGTACACGTCTCAATCTTAAGAAAACAAGCAAAGTTCGGATCCCACAAATTGTTGCTTCGCTACACCAAAATACAACCGCATTATAGATTCTAAACATAATAATAATAATAATAATAAATAAATAAAAATTAAAATCGTCATATATTATAATAATTTTTTTAATTATTTTTTTTTAAAAAAAATACAGTTCAAGAGAACGTTCAAGTTTCTTTGCTGGGCCGCGGGAGCGAGGCCCAGAGAAGGGAGAGAGGAGGCCCTACGGAAGTGGACTCGTCCATGAACCCAGATTTTTCTCAACGCATAATTACTATTTTAGCCTTCTGTTGGCTATCTGTGTGTGACCTACCCCGTGTGCTGCCGTTACGGGCCGTTTATGTCATTCCGCTTGGTGATCGCGGCTGACCGCTAGAAAATGTTCTACCAGGGTTCACGAACAAGGGCGGCGATCGAGGCGAATAGCAACGACCGAGTGGAACTCCTTCATCTCTTTTTGCCCGTGCAACCGCTGTTCTAATGCTCGCATCTGAAACTCTCTTTACTTAGCTTTTTTTATGTGTATTTTTTAGCGGTTTGAACTTGCATTTGTTCTCGAGCGATTGTTTCTATCATTTTGGTCATTTCCACTGATAGATTCTCTTTATATCTTCATTTATTTTGTGTATCTGGTGATCCTTTTTTAGGTGATTGTTATGTATATATTAGGATCTCTGATCTTCATTTGTTATCTACGTTTTGGTATTCGTTTCCTTTTGATCGGTTTATGGTACAAGTTAACATTCCGTTGACAATAGCATGAGATAAACTATGCTTTCTTAGTATATGTGATTTGCTGGTCTGTGATGTTATTTCTCTCTTTCTTAAGAACTTCTATCTAATTGTTATTGGTTTCTGACATCATTGTTCGTTTGATTAAAGGCTTTGTTCTACTTGAGTGGATTGGCCTCTTAGTTTCGATTGTTGATGTCATAGTTCCTTTTATTTCCTTTAATTTTTTGGACTTTTTTATACCTTGCAGCACTGATGGCCACCGTCCCTGGCCCACTCATTTGGGAGATTGTGAAGAAGAACAATGCGTTCCTTGTGAAGCAATTCGGTAACGATACTGCCATGGTGCAGTTTAGCAAGGAGCCAAACAATCTCTATAATGTCAATTCCTACAAGCACTCCGGTAGGAAATTAGTCCTTGGTTGTATTTTTGTTCCATTCTTTTTAAGTATCTGAGCTTCATTTGCATTTTGATGTGTTCATATATCTAATGAAAAATCACAGGGTTGGCAAACAAGAAGACAGTGACCATTCAGGCTGGAGGGAAGGACCTGTCCATAGCAATTGCGACGACTAAGACAAAGAAGCAGAACAAGCCTGGTAGCTTATATCACAGATCAGTCATGAAGAAGGAGTTCTGTAAGATGGCAAAAGTTGTTATGAACCAGGTATCAGCTCCCTCTGTTTCTTAAGATCTGAATGTGTTATTAGATTGCTAGCATTATGGCACATCCTGTTTGCCGGTTCTTAGAATTGTATTCCTTTGACAAATTTCAATTGTAGCTGGTAGTGTAAATTGTACTTTATGATACATGCATATTTTGGTTTCTGACTTAAATATGTATTGATTGTTCTATAGGACTAAGCATGTCTAATAAGCTTACTGAGGTAAGACAATTTAGATCAAATTAATGCATATGTCTAGTTTTAAATTGTAGTTCTATTTCATGAAGACCTACCATGTTTCTCTTGTATTCTTACAGTTGTTTAATGCCTGTCTCTTCTGTCTTTACTACTCAGTAACTAGATGATGGTTCTTTTTTTCTTAGCTCAACTTTAAACAAATGAATTTGATATCCAAATTCCTAAGCTAAATTTTTATCTGTATTTTATTCATCTATTCCCTATCTACTGTTCATAGACTCTGAAGATTGAGCAATCACGCTCTTTTTGAACCTTGGACTGTCATATAGGCCATTCAGTTTAGTGCATTATTAATACATGAATGACACCAATTGAGTTTCTTTTTATTGCATGATCTGTGCATATTGACCATGTTTTTGGTTACTTTAATTCACCTTATATGACTATTCGTATTATCTGGGGCTTGTTTGTGATGACATCAGTGATTACAATAGGTGCTCGGGCGCTTGCCTAGGCACTCGTGCGAGGCGAGACGAGGCCCGAGCGCCTCGCTTCATTTCCAGGCGGTGCGCTTCAAAGAGGTGCTGCCTAGGCGCTCGCTCGAGCTCAGGCGTCGGGCGCTTCGGGCGAGCGCCTGGGTTAAACCAACGACCGAACCAGATTTTTAGGTCTGGTTGGTCTCCGATGCTTTAGTTGGTTTAATCAAACCAACTAAATCATCGATATCAGGCTCCCTCTTGTGATTTCCTTGAGTTCCCTAACCCTAACACTCACGATTTTGCCGCCGAGATTTCTTCTCCACAATTGTTGCTCTCTGCTGCCACTGTTGCTGCTCGTCGCTACTGTCGCTACTCGTCGTTGCCACAATCGCTACGCGTCGACTGCTTGTCGTTGCCACAATCGCTGCTCGCCGTTGCTGTCGTTGCTCTTGCTGTTGCCGCTGCTCTAGCTACCACTGTCGTCGTCGCTCTAGCTACCACTATCGCTTGCTACCGCTGCCGTTGCCTTAGCAGCCTCCGTCTTCTCACACTCTTCTCACTATACTGTTAATAGTATATTAACAGTATACTGCTAACTGTATACTAATAATAGTATTTTTATTTATTAAATTAATAATATATTATTTTGATTTTAATACTATTGATTTTTATTTATTTAAAATTATTGTTAGGTTTTATAATAAATGGCAAGTGTACAAAGCAACTAAATAGATTTGATGTAAAATTTTATTGTTTTAATTTTTGAGACTTTTTATTAATGTGACATTGTGATTTTGTACGCGATTTTCTTAATTTAATAACATATATTTTTTTATTTAAATAATTATATTTATTAGTTATATTATATATTTTTATATTTTAGCGTCTCGTTTCGCTCGGGCGAGCGTCTAGCGCTACGGGCATTTTTGGACCTTGGCGTCTTTTGTTGCTTAGCGCTTTTTAAATCATTGGGTGACATATGATTGCTTTTCTTATCCATTCCAAATTTTGTTTGTATTCCTATGTTTTCATATATTGAATATTCTGAGTTATACTAGTCATATCAAGACTCATAAATTAGATATATTAGATTGATTAAATCATGTCCTTTCTGAAAAATAATTTAAAAAGAAATGATGGAAAATCAAGAAAATTAGAAAGAGAAAAAGGAAGATATGAAGTAAATTGGCAAAATGAAACAACTAAAGATCGCAGTAAGATCAATGAATTTTGGAAACCCTGCGTAACATTATAGACAAACCATAATACTTGCTCGATGACCTAGTCCTAGCTAATAAGAAAAGCTATCCCCCAATCTACCCATATACAATCCATGATAACTGAAGATGATGGTATAGCTTGTCAATTAGTTTGTAGGATGGAAGAGTACTTAATTTTGTGTTACTATTATAATGCAAACGAAGCTGCATTTTTCTTGTAAGTTGTGGAACATACAAGAATGTACAAAGAGATTTGGGTGTTCTTAATTTAACTAGATGGAATAGATGCACATAGATGACCCAAATAGTTGGGATATTACGGTTTGTTATTGATCCTAGATGGACAGTTGTCTTCCACTTCTACATTTGATTGATTCAATCTGACATTTTCAGTTTGTAGGTCAAGCCAATAGTAGATTGTGGAGTCGGGTGCTCTTTGTCCTTTATGTGACTTTTTTTTTTCATATTATTCTTTAAGTTCCTTTGTTCTACATGTACAACTGTTCTATTATCTCATTTTGAGTATTGAATATTTCCTATACTTT